GCCGCGCGCTGGCGCTCAAGGCGGTGCACGGCGCTGCGGGCGGGGACGTGAGCCGCTGCGTGCGGCGCCACCGCGCTCCCGCCGCCTGCAGCCGCCTGGCCGCCTACAAGCTGCTCAAGGAGCTGGTGCTGCTGCGCCGCCTGCGCCACCCCGGCGTCGTCCAGGCAGGTACCGGGGCCCCTGCGCGGGTTGGCTTGTGCCGCCCTTAGGACGACATGCGGGAGGTCAGAGGCGTCTCCCTGAATCCTTGCGCAAGCACGCCTGCACAGGTTCCCGTCTGGAAGCTGGTGCAGCGATTCAAGGAGACGCCTCTGAACTTGTGAGGAGCAGGGCGGCGGGTTGGCCACCCCTCGAGCCCGTCCCTCCTGCGCAGCTCCTGGTCCCGCGTCCCCTGGCCGCCAGCGGATGGCCGAGGCAGCGGGAGCGGGGCTGCTTCCCTTGGCGCCTCTGCCGCATGCAGCGCCCCCCGCCTTTACGGTGGAGGCAGGTCTGAGCTCTCCAGAAGTGCTGGCGGCTCAGAGAGGGGATGGCCTTTGCAGAGGAGCAGACAAGGGTCTTTGGGTAAATGTGGTAGCTTTTATTCCTTGTCTGTCTAGGTCCTTAGGCCAGCACGGCTACAACCAGCACCCCTTTGCAGATGTGGGAGTCCGTTCAATGCACATCCTATAAACTAATCCAGGTGTCTTTCTGGACCTCAAATGGACATGTTTGATGGTCCAGAAATTATGGGAGAGGCCAGGATTTCCTAGGGCGGTGCCTTCTCTTGGACCAACTACATAAAGTTATATAAGCTGGCGAATGCAAGTCTCACCCAGCAGGTCACTTTCTGGCTCAGGAAGATTGGCATCTGGTGGGAGCAGCAGTAATACGGCCAGGTATCAGTGTAACTGGATCAGCCCTCTCTGTTAGTCCAGGGCTTCAGATGCAGAGCTGATTGTATTTTGGCATCTGATTTGATTATTGACATAGTGTCAACACACTTCAAACAGCACAGAGGAAAATGCCTTTTCCTGTCATTGAATCTATTCCCCAAAGACCAGGCTGATCTAACCATCAATATTTATTTAATTTTTTCTTTTACTACTCAGAAATCATGTCTCCTGTGCACTCATACTTGCCTGTGGATGACAAGCTCTGCTTTTCTCTCTGTACAGTTGTATGGCCAATGCTATGATAATAGTGCCCATCCCAACATAAGGGTCACAGCAATGCTGGAGCTGGGATCCCCTCTGGAGATGATTCAGCTTCTGCAAACCACCTGGGAGGAGAGATTTAAAGTAAGAAAACAAAAGCAGTTTTATCGGTAGCATTTAGGCCTCAAACTGAGTAAATGGAAGAGCCCTGATGACAGCTGACAAACAGGATTATCCTGTTGACACTGCTGTTTGCTTCTGCAAATTCTCTTGGAATAATCTTGTTTTCACTCCTGTTAAATTGCATTAACCATACGAGCTGGAGCTTCACTCTCGTTAGCTGTTTCCTTATTCTTTTTTTCTCCCTTTGTCTGCATTATCTGTTTAGACTGTTAAGCTTATCAGAGCAGGATCTCTCTCTCATTATGTGTTTGTACAGTGCCTAGCGCAATGGGGCTCTGATCTTGGTTGGGGCCAGGAGTGTATCACACTATAGTACAAACAACAATGCTGTAGGTGGCAGGGTCACATCAGTGTCCCTGTGCCCAATGTCTTCCTGAGCTCTAAAAGTAGAGGCTCTTTACTCCCAGCGTAATTTACATATAAGAGCCGTTACTTTTATTATTAATTGTATTACAGTTGTGCCGAGATAGAGGCCTCAGTTGAGGGCTTCTTGTAATAGTTACTATTTATTTGCTTCACTGGAAGGAGATGGCTTCGAAGGTAAAACATAACTGCATTCAAGTCAATGAGAAGATCTTCAGCAACAAAAAACCCAGAGGCACGGTGTCCACAAACATGGCTATGACAGTCAGAGCCCACTAGATACGTGTATCTACAGCTCAGCTTCACTACCAGCTTTACAATTTCCTGCCAGTGTTCCCTCAAGGATGCTTTGTACACATTGCAGGTGACCCTAATAACAGAAGTGACTGAGGCCCTTCAGAAATGTATGGCACCAGATTAGTCTATGCTGGAGTTACATATTAGAAGACCTTATGAAGCTTCTTAATGAACAAGACTGTAAAGTGTGTGTCTTTTGATAGGAACTGCTGTTTCGGAGCAGATCATTGAACTGTTTGCTCCTGTGATTGTACTGGTTGATAATGGTGGGGTTTTCCTTTTTTTGCTGTAATCTCATTCTGAGTGAACAAGCCCCTGTATCTGAACAGACCACCACTGAGTTAATGGGACCCCTGGTGAACATAGTTAGGCATATGAGTCTGGTCAGGCAGAAGACAGGGTAGGGTGGCTGCTTAGAGAATAACTGATTCAGGATGCATGCAGCAGCTAGTATTATCTTTCTTGCTCTCTTCTTGGGGCATATCTGCTTGTTTTGGTACCAGGTGCTTTATGGCTGTGGTGTGCAAGGGGGCTGGAGTGGATGTTTTTGTGGGCACTTTTGGACAGATGTTGCCTACCTGGTTACCTGACATCACGGGCTGGAAGGTTGCTTCCAGTCCTGTGTTCCTGGGTTTGAGGCCCAATTTGCTCAATGCCTTACCCTGATAGAAAACACCTCTCTGATTGCGGGTAGCCATCAACACATGCCCTGAAACCTGCAGACTGTCTTTGTTTCCCTTTCTAGTTTTTATTTTATTTACAGTAACAGCAAATATCATGTTCATGTACATAATATTGCTAGGCTGCCTTTAATACTAAGATGCTGTGGCAATGTTGACAATCGAACTGGTAACATACTTGTAATATGCATAGAAGTATGAGATTTTTGTCATTAATTTTGTTGAAAGTCTTTTCCTGGTTGTCCTTCCAATTTAATAGCATTTTTTTTTTCATTTCTATTTTCCATACATATTCATCTCCTCTTTCTCAGGTTTGCCTTAGTCTCGTGAAATTGCTGTTTTACTTGGCACATTCCCCTCTGGGTTCAATAGTCCTCTTGGATTTCCAACCAAGACAGTTTGTTATGGTGGATGGAAACCTAAAAGTGACAGACTTGGATGATGCCAGCACTGAGGAACTGTCATGCAAAGATGATAATGACTGCATGCTAGACTTCCCCACAAAAAGCTTCATTCTCAAGTGTTCTGCAGCTGGGAAATGTGAAGGGATAAATGAAAAGAAGAATCTTTTCAATGCATATCGGTATGTCCAAATAGAAAAAAATCCAGCATGTTTGAACAAAACTACTCAATCTTATATAGTGAGCAGTAGCTTATATTTCTTCCATGCACTTCCTCCCAAATTTGCATGCACGCAGATTTGTTTGGATCTTTTGGTAGAAGGTATTATTTTCCTCATTAAGTAGGAATTGAAAGTAGCTTAGTCATTGGCTAGTAAGAACACAGAGGCCTTTCCTGTACTGTTCCCTTCTTTGATCTCCTATAAACCTGCACAAAAATCTTTCCCTAATGAATTTCTTGCTTCCTGAAGGTGCTGCTGAGAGCATCCCAGAGGCTAAAATCTTCTAACTGTACAGCAAAGGAAGTGGGAGCACACGCTTCCTTGAATTTACAGTCTGTCCAAGAAAGGCTAGGTTACTTTTGTGCCCCATGACTGGCCTCTCTGCAGAGATGGGGACAACAGGGTGGAGTGGTGATAGGAAAACAGACAGGCATCTAAACACTGAGATTGCCAAGTCAATTCACACAGGGTCAGACATAAGAACGTAATGACTTTCACCTACCACTGCTCTGGCTGCATTAAACTGGATGCTAATCTGCAGGTGAAGACCATGGTAGCCCATCACTAATATTGCTCTGATCGACAGACTCTATTTAAAGAAGGGAGTTCTCTAATGGAAAAATTACAGTCTTGCAATGATTATCCCGAGAGCCAGAGTTTTCTTCAGGGAATGGATGATTCAAAGAATGAAAAAATGGGTTTACCCTGCTATTCAAATTAATGGGCTGCCTAACTTTTTTAAGGCAAGAAAAAGACCAGGTTGTGTTGGGTGAAGAGCATATGGAGCTTCTTTTTTTTTTTTGAAGTTGGATAGCTGCTGCTCAAGCCATAAAAGGCTGTGGATGAGAGTGAATCAGGGTCTCACAAAGCAAATTAATGAACATTTAATTGCTCGAGTCTTCTAAAATTAATATGTTTAAAGCACTCAGCAGTACTATATTATATAGTGACCAGTCTTTCAGAAAACATGACATAGAAGAAGTTAATTAAGGTGCTCAGACTTTAGTGGGCTTATTATATAGAAAAGTGTATAATCCTCCTAAAATAGACAATCCACATAAAATAGCAATGAACACAGGACTACTTGTTATAATGAATTGAGGTCACTAAGTTCTAATAAGCTTGTGGGCTTTTTTTGTAGGTATTTCTTCACATATCTTTTGCCGCATACTGCGCCTCCTGGTTTGCAGCCCTTTCTAAGTGATATTCTGAATGCAACAGGTACAAGTTAATATTTACAAACCAATCTTTCTTTGATGAGACTCTCTAACTTGTATTTCAGTCAGTTACTCACCATTGTCATCTCCTTTTCATGTAGGTGACTTACGATATGGAATAAATGAAACCCTCAGAGCTTTTGAAAAGGTTTTACATTTGTACAAAACTGGGGTATATTTGCAGAAAAGGTCTCCTGTATTACAAGGTACAGAATTCCAAAGTCTTTAAGTGTTATAACTATTGCAGGTGCATTCAGGCTGGGGGGATTTTGTGATTCTTAACAATGGTCAGATTCCGATCTCGGTTCAAATCTGTATAGTCCTAATGAAGTGAGTAAAAATAATTTAGCATTCACGATACCTTTCACCTCTATCTCTGGAGCAATCTTTGTTGTTTTCTTGGGATCCTGAATTATCTCTGTGTGCAGCTGCATATTTTTGCAAAGTACATGCATTACAAGCTATCTGGTTTACATATGAATGTGTACTGCTATAAGCACTCTACTCATATCCTATTCAGACTGCATCAAGTTCATGTTTCAATTGAATGTACATTTTTGACAAATTGTAATAAGCCCTCCAACAATCTACTTGTCTAGACCTGTGGGGTATGAGCGACCCCTTCATGAAGTCCCCTCTCCTTGTCACCTTGTTGTCCAACACCTCATTTTCTTCATGTTATTCTAAAAAACCACTTCCCACTTCAAGTTATTTGTAGACTGTGGGTTAAAATCTGAGAACCGCTTCCCATTCTTTTCACAAGGTTTCCTTTTGACTGTGGTGGTGCCCTGCCAATACTTGGAAACCTCTCACAGCTCCTATAGACATGTGGGGAGCCTGCTCCAATGCACTGGATTTCCAGTGTGTTGGAGCAGACTATATTAATTGGAAATTGTGTCACGTGTATCAGTGTCCCTGCACATCCTGGCACTGAAAAAAATGGTGGCAGAGTGCTTTGAAATAAAACATATTTGATAAGTTTTACTTCAAAGAGCCTCACCATCATTTTTTCAGTGTGGGAACGCTGATACGCATGATGCACGGGTGCTTTTAATTAGTACAGCTTTCTAATTAAAGCGCTTGACACCACATCCCAAAGCACATGTAAAAATGCCCTCGGATACCTGGCTAGAGGGTCTTGCTTTTTCACTAAGCGGCAAACTGGGCTCTTCTATGCGTTCTTTAATACACTTTTGTTAATATTCATTCAATTTAGTACCTCTATTGTGAGGTACTAGAAAAAGGCACATTAGCCTATTTTAACGCAGATTAGTGAAAGTGCATGTTTTTTTTGGTGCATGAGCTGGAAAGCTTGCAGAAAAAGATAATTTTTGTGATTTCTTAGTTAGTCTAATAAAAGGTATTATCTATGAACCAAGAGTTCTAGAGTTCTGCATTTATTTTTTTCTCAGACCAACATGGCTACCAAATACATCCCTGGGTTTTTTTGTGACACTTTAATGTGCATTAAAATAGGCTGGTGTGCATTAAAGTGCATGTATAGACGCTCCCACTGATTACCAGATTCGAGATCAGGAAGAAATTTCATCTCCCTGGTCAGGTTAGCAAGGAACTGAGGGTTGCGGCTTGCCTTCCTCTGTGAAGTAAGGCATAATCCTCTTCCTAGTATCCTCTGGGCACATATTAAGCGGGCATGTATTAAGCAAGCACGTCTCTGCTGTTGCGGTGGCAGGGTATTGGCTTTGTCTTTTTCTCCCCTGCTTTTCACCTGCGGTCTATTGTATGACAGTTTTGGTTCTGTTTTCACAGTGTGCTATGTGGTGTGTGTAGGGCAGGGGTGGATGATTTTAGGACTTTTTGGGATAAATGTTTGACTGTGGACACAGGGAACAGGACTCAATGGCCTGATTGCCTCCTTCATGCTTCTGTGCTCCTTTTACTTTTGGGGAGTTAAGTGGCTAATCTTTCTCCTCAAGGAACAACAAGAGACTGCTTACTTATCTACCTGGGAGACACTAGGGCCAGGATAGGACAAAAGTGAGGATTTCTGATTATTTGCTTGGGTCCTCCAAGGACTCAGTTTGAACAAGTTGCTTTTATTTTGCTTGCGCTCATTTAAATTAAGGGGTTTGCTGAAATGCAAAGGATAAAAATAATGATGCAACTTAACAAAATATTGCAGTATATATTCTTCTCCAGTCATATTAAAAGCTTCCTTAATGCCATGTACCTCTTTTCCAGAATATATCTCCCTAAAGGGATTCCGAACCAGGGAAACACAGGACTATAAATGCTGGCCTTCCTATAGCCACCTAGGATGTTTGCTCTCTGTTCATAATGCAGAGGAAGCTGCAGGAATCTGTAATTCCCAGCCACAGTGCCAAAGTTTTATAGTCACTCAGCAGAGAACATGGACAGGTGAGCTTGACAAGTTCACTTTAAGAATCCCAGCCAAGATCTCTGAGTATGAATTGTTAGAGCCATCATAAGTTTGGTAGCATGTGGGAGAAATGCCACAGAAGAAAGATTCTCTTTGGATCCTGTTTATTAAAAAGTGTAAGCCATTCTGCTTCAAGAGTTGCTGTGATTCCCACTGCATAAAAGGTCCTCTCTTAGTAGGCCTCCTAAAGGTCACCATGCTGAGTTACTGTCTGGCTAGATTTTGTAAGCTAATAAAGGTCTGCCCTGATTGAGAGTTTGCCATAAATCACCTACAGTATCATAGGAAAAATGTAGGTGACTCAGTAGGTAGCTGTCTTCTCTGAGTCAGGGAACCAATACAATGATGAGGCATCACAAGGCACCTTAAGGATATTAGGGACCTACTTAACTTGTGGCGAAATTAAGTCATTTTCACAGCTTGCTCATGGCACAAAGGGCCAATTTTTGTGGGCATTTCCCAGAAACCCTGCCCCTCACCAGAGATTGGTTGAGAGGCCACGCCATTGCCACAGATTGGTGGAGAGGCCCCCAGCATGCCAAACTGTGTGTGTGTGGAGGGTGTGGGGAGGTTGATGATTTTGTGAGAAATTGCAGCCTATGGAATATTTCCCAGGAATCACAGTTACTGCTGGTTTTCCCAGCTTCCATGAAACCACAAATTAAATAGGTCCCTAATTACCATCTTTGGAAGTACCTTTTTGAAGTACTACCAAACATGGACAATATAGACAGGGTGCTGGCCTGGCACCTGTAGGGTCTTAGTTTTACTGGCAACACTGCTGGCAAGTCATGTCATCGCTCTAACTCAGTTTTTTCATCTGTAGAATGGGGATAATGATACTGATGTTCTTGGTAGATTGCTTGGAATTCTACAAGTGCAAAGTGCAAAAGCAAATGATTTTGCTATTGAGAGAGAAAACTGCTCCTCACAGTTATTAAAGGTGCCATAGGAGTTGTGTAGGTGATGGTGTTTAGCATCACCATCCACATATCAGTTATGATGTTCTCTCTCCATACACTGCTTCTGTGTTTTCAACCAAATGCAAACATTTTCTTCATTTCTTCTCCCAAAATCTTGCATAGTACTGGTGAAAACTGTTAACTAGCTCCTGTGTTGTGCTCCAGAGATGGCTGCATTGGTGGGAGTTAGGGGGTGAGCCAATTTGTATGGTATGCATAGTTTAGAAAAAACCTTGGGTCCTCTGAGATGAAAGAAGCTGCATAAAAGAAGGTGACTGCTATTGTTATAATTACAAGGATCATAGTTTACAATAGTTTTGATCCCTTTTATCAAAATAAATCCCCAGACCAATGGATTTCACAAATGTTCCTATAATTATCCCTGATTACAGGCTTCCATTGAAGCCGGCTAGCATGTTTTTAGAATTATACTATAAATTACCTCATTTAGCTGACATTTCAATAGTGGTCTGAACTATTACCCATAATGTGAAGAACTGAATGAAATAGATGAACATTTTGTCTGATGGTGTTTAGAGTCCTAGGCTTTGTCAGCTGACATGACAAATGGGTGCCCTTTTAGGTTCTTGGTTTTGAAAAAAATGAAATTTTAATCCCTCCCTACAAGCTTGGATGAAAATTGCACATGAATAGCTTTGTAGAAGAGGACATTCAAGTACTGACAAAACAGTAGAGCTTAGCTTGTGTTTGGAGCCAGGTTCACAAAGCAGTGGATTGGGTGAGTTTTATATAATGCATCCCTTCTAGGTTTTACAACAATGCTTAACGTGCCACCAGAAGGTATCCAGGTACTATGGTGATGGGCACTGTATAAAAACTTGCATAAAATAAATCATCCATCTCTACTGTGCTCTGATTCTGCAGTGCGCTGCCTGGGATTTACAAGCTGTCATTCAGTCTGTTTTGTTTCTTCTGGTAAAGTTTTCCTTCTTGTAGTAAATCTTTATTTCTCAGTCACCAAGAAAGACAAAAATGGGGCCTGATTTTGAGGTGCTGACAAGGAGTCCCACATCTATTCAGATTAATGAGAGCATCCGGAACTCAGGAGTGCTTTTTTGGTGTAAATTTGTAGGATGGACTATGATGTGTGCATGGACTGTGACTTCTATGCATTCCTGTTGAAGCCAGTGACCATCCTGGGTACACACAAAGGGTGCCTTACATTCATATCTCTTTGCAGTCTAAAGACCACGGGGCCTGATGAACAGCTATTCAACTTGCATTTTGATTTTCTTTCCAGGGCGCCCACTTGCCTCATTTCGAAGTCATTTGCCAGACTTAATACCAGACGCTAATGCTGCCATCTACATTAAACGATCTGCTTCCTCAAGGGAAAAACTTTAAAGAGGGCGAGATCACACAAAGTGATCTGGGGAGGAATCACTGGGGAGAATTCCATCGACTGAAAGGAGTGACATATTTTATTTTGCTTTAGGAGGTGAGCTCTGTGCCAGCTTAGATTGTATCACATAGGGCTGCCTCCTTGATCAAAGCCAAGATTCCCTACAGCACAACACTCCCCACCACACAGCCGTGCTCCCAGACTCAGCCCTTCCTTGTAAACATTCCCAATTTTAGTTGAAATATTGCTAGAATCTCCCGTACTTCAGCTTGTTGCTCAAGGAACCAACCTGTCAGCCAAGAAATAGAAATGGCCCCAAGGGACACATGCACTGGACCTAGTTAGTTCATCAGTCTTTGAAAACCCATGAATAATGCACCTTCAGAGAGCACAGAGCTCCCAGTTTTGACGAGGGCTCCTTCCACAGCTGCCAAAAGGGATTTAGTAACACTGTAAATGGGAAGCTCTGTTCTTCAGTGTTTGGATTCAGATTCAAAATGTAAGGGGGGGAAGGGCTGTTCAGAGCAAGGGTGTTGTTCAGCTCATTGTAGGGGTGAGGGAGATGGATGTTTAGCTCAGAACCAGGGGGTCCCTTTACAGAGCAGGTGTTGCCCAGTTTAGATCTTGATCCAAAATCTGGGCCTGATGGTGTGCATTTTGAACTGGTTTCTCATCTACGAACCTTGGAGGTTGTTGGGTTTTACTTTCAGTGAAAGAAATTTTGCTGAGCAAAATGTTCAATATATTTATGTATGAAGTTCTGTCCAGTAAAGAATGGTTATATTTATTCTGAATCAGAGGATTTTGTGTTATGTTGCTGTTGCTATTGACTGGGGATCTCTAGCTCCTTTCCTCTGACCAGGATCAAGGATTTTGCTGCATTTCCAACTACAACAAATTGTGTTGTCATAAATACTGGAGCCAGGTAGGAAGGTCTGGAAGCATGACATCCCCAGCTCCTTTCCAGATCATTTTGTGGCACAACTCAGGAAAAGTCAAGATCACAACAAGAATTCATCTGCAGAGGGAAATCCTGCAGCAGGGAGTTCCAGACAGCTTGGTAGAGCTGTGTGCGCCAGGGGTAGGCCTGCATGGTATGAGGAAGGATCATGTTTAGAGGGGAGTCAGTGGCTCCCTGCAGTCTAATGCTGAGGGTCCACTTTTGCTTACTCATTTGTGCCTTGCTGCAGCCAAGGGGCAGTTATTTGGTGTCCCCCCCGATTAATTGCTGAGCACTCACCTCCTGCTGTACTCTTGTTAGTCAGGATATAGTCTGTTTCTCTTAATGCAGGTGCTCCTCTGTTGGCTCATTAGTGCTCTATTAACTTAACCAATGCCCTTACAGTGCAGCTTTCTCATGTAAGGCACCCCAGCTACCTCTCCTCCAGAAAGAGGTACCAGTTAATGAAAATCCCTCTTTAGCACAATAGGGCTGTCCTTGTCATGATGACCACTCTCTGTAGGTTTTGTGAAGGTAACGCTTCTTAAATGGACAGTTAAAGACTTTCCTCCCAATAGGCTGGGTCTGCAGAAGTTGTAGAGGAGGGGCTTTCTATTGTCTTAGGTTGACCCTACTCAGCAAGGCCTTCCGGGCATGTGTCACATGCTGCTTGACATTAGCAAGAGTTAATGAGATTTTATTCCATCTCTCTCAGCCCCTTGGGATACAAATCAGAGCAACATTCTCCCAAAGCACCAGGCAAGGGCTACCTCTGGGTCAGGAGAGGGAAGGGGCAGAAACTGAAATCTGCAAGACTGAAGGCATTTCAGTTTGTATCAAAAACTCCCTGCCCTGAAAACTCCTGATGATCAGTCAGAGCCAGGGTTGCACAGGCGATGTACATTGTAATTGCCTAGCATTCATGAGCCTCCCCTCTACACGTCGTCCATTTTTCAGCCTGTTTTCCTTGTATTATTTATTTCCCTGCTGACTGAGTCAATCCCAGCCCTCCAGCAGATGGTGCAGGGCAAGGTGGTGTTTGTAAATATGTAAGTTTCCGCACCAGGCTTGCAATCTAGCCTTAAAGATCCCACGGGTGAGGACTGCGTGGGGTTTGCAAAGAGCTGAGCACATGCTAAGCAAGCTCAGGCTTTAAATCATTACTATTACTGGCAGTTGCTAAGCCAGAAACTATCTATGCAGAACTGAAGTCCACCCTCTCCAAATTACTGGGTAAATGTCCATATAACCTTAACCTCTGCAAGTGTATGAGCAAACAGCCACTGATTAAGCAAGATGTTTAAGCTCATAGAAATATAAAAGCACAGCTGATGGCAAACTCAACAGTCACTGAGAGCAACTCCCTGCAGCCCACAGCTGCAGTATATGTTTGTCCAGTCCCTCTGGAAAGCTCCAGTGAAGGTAATACCACAACTGTACCTGCAGACAAGTGAGCAGTCCCACTGTATTTGTAAGATCCATGCTGAATTTGGACCCTTTTTGATTGCACCTATCATGAATCTCCATGCATGCTCCCAAAAAAGTAGCACCCCTGAACATGTTAGAATTTGCACCCAGAAAGCTTAATGCCCCTCATTCACTTGGCAAATGTGAATCGTAATCTTGAAGAGACTGCCCATGGCCGAGGACTGGAAGCGTACACGTGCAAAGTCTGGGTGCAGGTATGCATGCATGGGCCCACTTCTGTTCCAGCACAAATGGAGAGTTTTAAAATGTGCTGCTTTGAATAGATCCCTGTGGTGTACACAACAGACTGGCTCTGCAGGCAGAATGATTTCAAATTATGCAGTGTTCTGGAAGTGATAGCAGTTTTGAGTGAAAAATGAATACAGACTCAGAGGCAGACAAGGTTCTTTGGGTAAATGTGATTATTCCAATTTGAAAATTGATATACCTCTCTTCTTCTAGCCTGCTGCTGGACTAGTATTTGAATCTACCAGATTTCTTGCCTAACAGTGAAGAGAAAGTACGTACAGTGATTGCAAATTCATACCCTTGTGTGTGAAACTTTGTTCTGCCAAAACCCACAAACTCAAGCACTTCCCTTGTGCTCTTTGAGATAGTAACACTAATTGGCCACATGGTGAGAAGGTACAACTCTAAGGAAACAACACAGTGGGTACATCTACACATGTGCTTTACTGTAGAGTAGACTAATTAGTCTGCAGTAAAGCGTCACAGTCTACATGTGCGCCGGTATTAGGGTGCAGTAAACTAACTGCCATAAAATAGTACTGTAGGGAACAGTACTATCTTATGGTGGAGTAATTAACTCTGCTGAAACTCATGCATAGATGCTGACCACGGGTGTACATTGAGCCTCGTCAGTCAGCCAGTGGGGAGCCTGTTCTGTCCTGGCTCAAATTGCTGCTGTCCCAGGTGCGTGTGTAGACACTGTGCTCAGGAACAGTTTATGTTGGCTCAAACTGTTCCACGGCTTATTATGTCACATTAATCACATGTGTAGGTATACCCATTATACCCCATTATAATCCAGATTCAGCATTTTACAAGCATCTTGCTTGTTACAATTTCTGGCGATCTTTCAGTTAGATGATGACTTGGACATAATATCCTTGTTAACAGTAGGAGATTCTGTTCAATTCTCATCTGTCAAATGGGTGTTTTATAGTGTACCCTGTGTAGTTCAGTCATTCTGTATTTACTGTCTTTTTGCTAGATTATAAAAATATCAAGCAGCTTTATGCATTCCATTCTAATGACACATTCAATTTATACCTAAAATCTTTATTTCAGTAACCACAGTAGACACGCATCTAAACAACTGTTGCCCCAAAACTCAGCTGCTTGAGCCAGTTTATCTTTGCTATCAGTGATCAGTATTTCAAACACCATTGTAGGAGATATAACATGAAAGAGTGCTTAGAAGGAAGCAGCAGGGGGACCAATTGCAATGGAAACCATGTGTGCTGGAGGAACAATATTTACCTTAATGTATCCAGCATGGCTTCCAAAAGGGCAATGTTATTTAGAGAAAATGTAAATGAAAATGTCCCAGTACATAAAAGTTAGGAATATCATTTCAAAAGACTTTAATATTCTTAATTCATTCCAGGTTCCAATAACTGAGATAAAGCTATATTTGTAAAAGAAAATATTGCCCACTTCAAAGATACAGACTGCAATTTAATAAATAGCAGCAGATGATGAATGACTCATATTAAATATGTGTGTGCAAATGGTGAATTTATACATGATCTAGCACTTGAGGGGAGGGAGCAGAACTTGAGAAAGAAAAAAATAACATGCCATAAATCAATAAAGCTGCATGCCGTGATACAGACAATACTGTGCACCTGTCTAACCTCTTCCAGCTGAGGATGGCTATGTTTTACAAACATGAATTAAGTTCTCAATTACTTTATCATCCAAGCAGATGAGTTATCTGAGTCAGCTCAGAATTGTTATAACAAAGGAAGCATTCCAGGTGGTCCTAGATTCAAGTGATACAGCTGGTCACGCTCTCTACCTGGTAAGATTGGTTAACAGAGGCTTGGATGTTATTTCACAGAGCAAGTAGTGTTGACTCTGGTTAGAAATTGGGATATCAACTGGGACAAAAGACTTTCTTTGTGGTCCAGTGTCAGAGGCTAATGAAACTGAGTGCTTTTAGAGGAGGCTGTGCATAATATGTCATTGGTTACACACTGCTCTGTTGAGGGTTTAATATACCTTTGAATATAATCTTTTGCCCTAAGCTATCAATGAAATTATCCTTAGCCATCTTCTGCCTTGGATCTGTGTTCACAGATCACCCTGGTCTAAAGACGATCTCCAATACAGTCAGTGAGAAGGCAGTTGAGGAAGTTTCATACAAAAGTTGCTTGATTGCATCAGAATGATGTTAAAAATTCTAAGAAAATCCTAATGCTGTGATTGTGTGGGAAGCAAGGAAAAGCTTCAGTACTTCCTCCAAAGTATCAACATAATCTAGGGCAGTGGTTTCACTTTGGATGGTGACACGTAGGACTGTGCAAATAGGCAGCTATTCAATTCAGCTTCACATCCAGCCTCTTCGGGTGCCAGGGATCTGATCCAGAGCTCCAGATCGGTTTCCCGCTTCGATTTGGCTGAAGCGGCTCCAAAGCTTTGGAGATCCAGCCATAGGATATAATGGGAAATCAATGCAATATCTATAACTTTGTTGTTTTTTGTCTGATTTCGATGCCACTCACAGGGGTACTAGCCTCTGCTGTGAGTATGAAACCTGCCAAGTTTCAAGAAGATAGGTGCAGAGGTTTGGGGGGAACTGCACCCTAAATTTGTGAAAGCAAAACTCATGTCACGTGTATGTGTTATGCCACAGGAGGATGAAAACTGCAGAGTTGGTAGCCCCTGGTGAGGCCACAAAGCCTGCGAAGTTTCAAGAAGATCAGTGCAGGAGTTTGGGGGGAACTGCACCTCAAGGTGCTGACAGGCAAAACTTGTGACATGGGTGCTTGTGCTACTGACTGTCTCGGTCTTGGGGCAGTTGATTGTCTGTATTGATTATTTCCTCTCCTTAGTCTGTGGTTTTGTAGGTGTTAATCCTTGCTAATTAACTCGTTATCTAGTAGCTACTAGTAGCTAGGTACTGTGTATTGAGCTGGTCCCTGAGTGAATCATGATTGATTGGTAACACAGTAGCTTAGCAGCCAGGCCTGCAGTAGTTCCCCCCCACCCTGTGCCCCAAGACAGACACAGTCCCACAAGCACCCATGTCACAAGTTTTGCCTGTAAGCAGCCAGAGGTGCAGGGCCCCAGAACCCAGACTCCCCCTGCACCGATCTCCTTGAAAGCTGGCAGGTTTTATGGCTGCAGCAGGGGCTATCA